CTCCCTTATTTACACTTACTTCTATATATGACATGAATAACCAATCGAAAGCTAGTGGCTTTCTAAGCCATTTTAATGCACTGGGCACCATTTCTTTCTTTTCAGCCAATATTTCAACGAGGTAGGCTGTGTCTTTAGTTTGCTTGAAATTTTATATTTTTTTTTAGACATCTTACTTACTAAGCTTGATAAATTATAGTGGAATTCTATTGTATTAATCTAGTTATTTATGATTTTTTATGTATTTATGTATATATAGAACCTAAAACAGAATATTTTGTTTCATATCCTCCTAGTGCAAAAAATTCAAAAAAAATATTTTGTAAAAATTCAGCTTTTTGTGTAAAACAGACTCAATTCATTAAAAGCTTGCCAAATTTTATGAACATACATGTTTTAAGTTCAGAATTATAGTAAATATTACAATGTTTAGCTTCACAGATGCAGTTGAATATAACTGATTAATGAGCCCAATGATTAATCAATCAGCAAATCCTGCTAATTGTCTAGACTTACTGATGAAACACCTGACCAACATATTTTTATTGTGACATATAAAGCTTGGCAATTTGTGTAATTTCCAAAATTGATTTTTTATTGGTCTCATTAATCCATTAGACCCAACAAATCAATTACATTTACAAGACTTGGACAGTTGAAATATTTGAAAATAATATTAATTTAAAACACTACTTTTGATTAGTTTCTTGTTTTCATGAACTGTGATAATAAGATATTAAGCTGAACAATGTCGAATTAATTGAAGACTAATAATCAGAAACACTAATTTTGCTTAGTTGATTATTTTTCATGAAATTATGAGATATAATCATACTTTCATTAAATAATTAATTTATGTGACAAATTGATGCTCATAGGTAGTTGATTCTATTGATTAATGGAGTTAATTTCCCAATTGGTGACAGACTAATTTACATAACATCACAGCAACACTTATTTACATATGACAACCAACTCATTTACATAACTACTGCTACCACAACATACTTCAGCACCATCTAGTGCCAGTTATTTTGTCTTGTTGTACAATGAACTCTAATTGAAAGTGAATTAGTATCATGCATAAACAAACTACAGAGACAGTTCAACTACATGACAGAGGAAGATGCATAAAATATGAATATAATAATAATAAAATAATGTCACCTCACAATACTTATTGAGAACTAGTAAGAAGTTTCTTTCACATTAAATATAAATGCCTTGATAATGCACTTTTTGAGGCAGAAGCTTTGGTTGTTGTTGCTTTAGCATGTTAAGAGATCAGCAGTACATTTATTACAGAGGATTGGTTAGATATGGATAAAGAATATATAATCTTAAAAGGTTTTCAAAACTGTAAAAGTAAAGTGGAAGGGCATGATATGAATGCTTAAACAGATGTGAGACAGAGAGCCTTTGTGTTCTAATTAGAATATCTGACAAAAAATGTACAAAGAAAATTATTTGTAGTTATTTTAAAAACTTCTTGTACTTGACAATGATATTGGGTTAGCCTATGGATGTAATTTATACTTTTAAAAAGTATCTTTTGAAATGGGAAAATGAGTAGACAAGTGTTTAAATCTAGACTCTTTTTATTTTGTAAATAGAAATCTGTTAAGAGTTTTAATCTTTACAGTGATTTGTATGATGATAAAGCAAGTAATTGAATGTCAAGGGTTAATTATCTATATTTTGAGTGGTTGTTTCAAGTGGTTATTTTGATGGTGAAGAGAAGACTTTGATAGACCATATAGCTTTCTACCACCTTGCTCATTTATAAGCAGTCTTCAACCTCAACATGAAACTGACTGTCCATTAAACATCAGAAACATTTCTAACCTCATGTTTTGTATACCAAATGGCATGATAAACAAAAACATTTCCTTTATAACCATGTCCACTCTCCCAATGTACAAGTAACTAAACAGTTTTTGAATATATTTTCGATATTCAGTAATCTGTTTGTTTGTTGTTAAGCTCAAACCTACATAATAGGATATCTGTGATCTGTCCACCACTGGTATCAAAACTCTGTTTTTTTTTTTCCATTATAGGCCTTCAGAGTTATTGCTGAGCCACTCGTGGGCTCATTCAATAATAAAATAAGTGTTTTTATTTACTGACCATATTGTTTCAATCAAACTAGCATGCTAAATCAACAACTTCTACTGTAATACATATCTTTATCATAAACTTATTACCAAGTATGAGAATTAAACAGCCCAGATACACATAAGAAAACATTACATACCTATATCCATGAAGACACAGTATCTATAAAAAATATACAGTTATCAACAAAACTATGTACTGCTTCAATCAAAACAGAAAAATAAAATAATCTTACACACATTTGCAACAATGGTATTTAAAAGTTTTTCTTTATATAGAACAGTATGAGAGTATTATCCGAAACAGGCTAAAAAGATTGAGGACATCCATCAGTTCCATTCTCCCATTTTTGAAGTATTATTTAGATAAAAAAAAATTATCAATTAAACTTGCATGTAGAATAATAACAGAAACTTCTTCAGTGTGTGCTAATAATACAGCCTTTTAAACTTCTAATAGTTTTTGGACTGCCAATAATTAAAAGAATTTTGTTGTTACTTTTGTAAGGCTTTTCTTGTCAAATTTTCTCAAAAGTTAACATTTAAGCTAACTAGTTTTTCAACACCTAATAATGTCATCCTTAACAATTAAAGTAATCTTGTTATCATTAAAGTGTTTTGTAAATACATGTACATTTTACTTAACTAAACGGTATTCAGTGTTAATATTCCTAATATTCCTAGCAAGGTAGCACTTACCATTTCTAGTTATAAATGGTTTTGGTTATCATTTATTTAATTTTCCTTCTGTTGTTTAAGCCAGCTATTTTCAGTTGCCTTAAAAATTTAGCTCACTTTCCTCCAAATGTATATTAAAGGAATCATTTTTATATTAAGAAATTGACAAACATACTCCTAATAGTAATATACAGAAACTAAGTTCATGTAAGCTAATGCAAAACAAATGGTAATTTGTTAGTTGTGTGATATGTAACCTCATGGTCTGAAAAGAAACAAAAATCTATGCTTCCTTGGAAAACAAGACTTATAAGAGCAGTAAGACTGACTGATACTCAAGATATATTTGTTGACTATTTAAAGTGATAAGATTAGTTCAGTTACTTGTTTTAATATTATTTATGACTTCACATTATTCTTGAGAACGGTTTAATATTGTTAATTATTCTTTCATGTAATCTTACAAATTATATTTCTTCTTCTGGTTTGTATCTCCTAATTTGCTGTTATGCTCTGTGATTTGATATTGACAGCTTTGAATGTCTGTGTTTGAAATACTTAAGCTATTAAAAGTCCTGCTCAGGCACTAGTTTATAATTTCTCAAATTTGTATAGCTTATTTTGTCATTCATAAACTTTTAACTTTATCTTAAGCTGAAAGTAATGTGGCTATATGATATGTTACATTTACGCCCAAACAGGACCTCTTCTCTTAATAGGTTGAGATACTTTGTATCGTTGGTCTTTGTTTTCTCAAACAAGTATTCTAGCAGTAAGTTTAATCATAGTGAGAAATAAAAAAGTTGTCAAAGTTATTAATGAGTTACTATTGAAATCAATGAAGCTGATGAACCAAACTTAAGCAGTCTATTGCACTTTTAATCAAGCAGGGGCAGATGTTAACATGCTGAAGTGAGGACCACTAAAATGGTAGAAATCACTAATGTCAGAAATGGTTTTTCAAAACTAAAGAGGATGTAAGGATAGTCTAACTGTTGGCTGTTAAATAAAAATGAATTGGCTCAAGAACTGTTCAGTAAAATGTATATTTCAGTTAGAGGTGAGAACACATATCTATTTTGAAAACTAACATTACACAAATTATGGAACTTTAATGCTACTGAAGGAAAAATAGTAAAGTGTTTTATATATCATTTACATGTTCCATTAGCCCTCTCACTACGGATGGGTCAAAGGGCCCATGTGAACATTTTAGAGAATTATTTTCAAAATTTAATT